TCTGGGTCGCAGAGGGGAAAAGTTGCTCATACCCTTTTCAACAAGGGAAAGCTGATTGTCTTCATGTTACTTGGGGGTGTCTTCGCCTTCTGTTTCCCCCAACCCCTGACACCCCAGGGTGCCAGCTCTTCCCCCCTTGTTTGAGGTTTGTTTCAGGCTTCTCGGGCCCTGGCAGACACTGCCAAAGGCCGCAGTGAGCGCTTACCCCACGGGGAGCTCCGTGACTCCCGGGACAGGGGAGCCGGGGGCTGAGCCGTCTTCTGGCAGCCGCGACCCCTCCCGGGACCCCCAGGCAGGTTCCAACCACTCAGGCCTGAGGAGGCTTTGAGCTCGCAGTGTTGTTGGGTTCTTGCAACTTTGGAAACATTTTTCTAGCGCAGCACTTGTTGGGCTGACTCATTTGGCTTTGCTGCTTGTTTCTGTAACTGTCCTGAGGATGCATTTTTTGGGTATTAGTCTTCTGATCTGACAGCATCCCCCAGCATAACGACACAGTTTTTGTTCAGAAACTCTGTGCCAAGTGTGCTCTGGCGTGTCGGTGACCCTGTGTAACAGCTTGGACTTACTGAGCTCAGCAGGCCTCTAGCACAGGGGTAAAGGCACCAGGTAGGGCTACTCGCGTTTCCTGCCAAATGAGCGTGCACACAGACCCAGCGGGGCGACTCAGGGGCCTGGTAGGGAAGTCCTGTCCTAGTAACTTATCATGCAGAAAGAGAATGACAAGATGCACCAGCAGTAACTGCTAGAACTTAATTCTTCCTCAAGCTGGAACAGCCCGAGGTGACCTTTCTTTTACCCCTGCTTTGTTTTTATTTATGCTCCTTTGCTGCATGCATTCGGAGGTTCTAGTCTAGTCACTGAGTTGTGCCTTGTGCTCTCTACCTAACTGTAGAACATCCCCACCTCTCCAGAGAGGAACCCTGTATCCATCGCCACTCGTGCCTTCCTCCTCAGCTGCCCAGCCTGGCAATAGCTCATCTGTTTCCTGCCAATCTTGGGTTTTCTTATTCTGGACGTGCGTGTAATGGAATCGCATAACACGTGACCTCTGTGCCTGGCCTCTTTCTCTGGCAGCGTGGAAGCTTCGTCCACGCTGTGGCCTGTGCCGGCACTCTCTTCCTTTCTCCGGCGCAGTGGCAGCCCACGGCGCGATGTACCACATGTCGCTTAACCGTTTAGCAGCTGGTGGACATGTGGGTGGTCTCCCATGTCGGCTCTTCTGGATAATGCTCTGAAAACATTTGTGTGGACCTGTTTTTGGTCCTCTTTTGTATAGACTTAAGAGTTGAAATTGTTAGGCCATAGGATACCCTCTAGCTTTCTTATTTGAATATAAGAGAAACTTAATTTCTTTAGATCTTAACTTGCATATTACAAATATATGGAAATTACAGTATTATAGAAATACGTAGTATAGAACATGGAAGTTCACTGTTCCCCACTAACTCTTAGCACTTTGAATGTCTTTTCAGATATTTCCCCCAGATATTTACTTATTATTAATGCATTTTTTAAGATTATTTATTCATACAGAACTGGGGTACAGGCCAGAGATGCGGAGGGTGAGAGGCTTTCCCAGAGACAGAGTGGGGAACAGAGCAGGCAGATCGACCAAGCACACTGCTGAGGGGAGCAGTGGGCGGGTCTGGAGGGGTCTGCCGGGCCCTGTGGTCACTCCCTGGCAGGGGATCGAACTGGTGCTGCAGCGGCTTTGGAACCTCACAGTGCTGTGCTTTCGCCCATTGCCCTACCAGGGAGGGCCCTGTTAATGCATTTTTAAAACAAAACTAAAGTGGCACCCAATATACTATGCTAAATATATTAAAAGTGGCACCCTAACAGACCCTCTGTCAGTTTGTGAAAAAGTTTTTAAAGTTGGGGTAGTACATCTCATCTTTCCCATTTGTCTAAATGAAACAAACGGTAACAAACACTGCGGGTCTGTGTGTGGGGGGGGGAGCCTCCAACGTCCACGGGCCGTCCGCTCCAGCTTGGCTGGGCCAGTCCCGAACCGCAGGGCTCAGACGGGCAGCCGTCCACTGCAGGGCCCCGGCAGCTGCACAGCCAGAGCTGCCTCTTGAGAGGCGCTGCCCATCGGGCGGGCACGCCGGCCCCGGGCCACCCGGTGTAGCCCTGCTGTCTCAGTGAAGTCATTGATTGTCCCCTTCCTCGGAAGCAGCCCACGACGCCTTCCCCTCGCTCTGCATCACCTGTGACCCTGCCCTCTTCCCGAGACGATTTCACTTGCCCCGAGCTCCTCTGTCTCGGAACAACCCCCTGGGGGCCCGTTCCCCATCAGCCTGGCGGAGAGGCAGCTAGGGTTTCTTTTCTTTTCTTTTCTTTTTTTTTAAAGATTATTTATTTATGCACACGGAACTGGGGTACAGGCTAGAGGTGCGGGGTGGGGGGTGAAAGGACTCCCAGAGACAGGGGAGCAGAGTAGGCAGATGGATGAAGCACACTGCTGAGGGGGCCACGGGGACAGGAGAGGTCAGCCGCCCTGTGGGTCCCTCTCTGGTTGGGGATCGAGCTCGCGCATAATGCTGAGACGTAACCTGTTGTGCCACCAGCGAGGGCCCGGAGCTGGGGTTCCCAAGGCGCAAAGAACCTCCGCGCTGTCCAGGAAAGACCGGCCACGCCGCTTCCCCAAGCCCTTCCCCAGCGCCGCTGGCCAGCCGCCACTGCAGGGCCCGGCCTGCACTCTGCCCGTGCTGACGGGCCGGCGTCTGTGTTCTCGCCCAGGGACGCCTCAGAGGGTTAACGGCAAGGTGAAAGGGAGGATCTTTGTGGGGAGCAGCCAGGTCCCCGTCTCCTTCGAGCACACCGACCTGCACTCCTACGTGGTGACGAACCACGGGCGTTCCTACACGGCCATCAGCACCATTCCGGAGACGGTGGGGTATTCGCTGTTGCCCCTGGCCCCTATCGGAGGCATCATTGGCTGGATGTTTGCAGTGGAGCAGGACGGATTCAAGAACGGCTTCAGCATCACAGGTGACTCGTGCCGCGTCGCGTCCGGGAAGCCACGAGGCCAGCCGGGC